AAGTCTTCATCAGTCAAGGAAACACACAACACAAAACTGATTCTTCCCCCAACAGCTTACTCCAAAGAGAAACAAACCAGTTTTGTTAGTGCTAAAATGGTCTCTTTGGCACGCCCCCTCCTCCTACCGGCCCTCTTCCTCCTTGAGAGTCATGTCAAAATGGTTCAAAACCAACAAAGTCCATGCTCAATAATCCAGGTATACAATTCAACAATTTTCAGTCAGGTCATCTGGGCAGTTTCTTTTATTATTATTTTTTTGCGCTGAAACATTTCAACTTTCATCCAGAAGACTTCATCAGTCAAGGAAACACACAACACAAAACTGATTCTTCCCCCCAGCTTACTCCAAAGAGGAACAAACCAGTTTTGTTAGTGCTAAAATGGTTTCTTTGGCACGCCCCATCCTCCGATGCCGGCCCTCTTCCTCGTTGAGAGTCATGTCAAAATGGTTCAAAACCAACAAAGTCCATGCTTAATAATCCAGGTATACAATCCAACAATTTTCAGTGAGGTCAGGACAGTTTCAGTAGACATTTCGTTGTGTGGGCTGGCCCGTTGCAGAGGTACGTCAGAGCGGCTGCCATATTGAATGTGGCAGAACTGCTGGTCAACTAATAGAAGGAAATGTACTGAACTTTAAGCACCGTTCTACAAAGTGTTTTATGTTAATCCCTGCCATTCACACATACTAATATACTTAGACAACAAACAGGCACCAAAGACACATTTATAGCTTATAAAGTGATTATTAAAAATGTTTGCTCCTTAAATGTTTAGGTTAAAGATAATCACTAGTATTATTTTGAGTGTTTGTAACTACTAATGTGTGCAACAATATTACTGTGGTGATGAATATAGAAATATTCATATTGAACATTTAATATGTGTCTATAATAACCAGATCCTGAAATGTGATGTGTTGATTTTCTGAATAAAGAGCACTAACGTTCACATTTAACTGAATTTGATTAGTCACATTGATAAACATATAAACACCAATATATCTTTACAGGGGGTATATATATATATATATATATATATATATATATATATATATATATAT